ACAACATTTAGAAACATCGTGGATCTGCGAACATTCTGCGCAGTTGTTTTGTAGGTTCGGCGAAAAAACAGCTTTGGGGTGCATCACTTATGCTATCGACCTCCTACTTGTCCATCCGCCTCTTGCGGAGCGCGGAGGCCGCGAGCAGCGCCGCGAAGACGACCTCGTTCGTGCACGCTGCAGCCGTAGCCCCTCAGAAGACGACGGCGACGTTCTGGAAGCAGGTCGGTGACCGTTCCTCTACCTCACGGATCCGCGCGGCCGCGCGCCGGTGCGGTTGCGGACATCGGGTTTCGCCTCGCCCAGCCTCGCCCGGCCTCGCCTCGCCTCGGGCAGTCCGCTGCAGCTGCTCCGTGCATGGGCGCTGCGTGCACGGGCGGGCGGTTGCCTTCGTCGCAGAAGGTCGCGCCGTGTCGACGGGCGGCGACCCCAGCGCGGGCGTTCCGGGGTGAGCGCTGCTGGCGACCCAGGGTCGGTCGTTGTTGAACAATCGGACGTTTGGGGAACGGCCGATCGTTCCAGGTTGAACGATGCCCGCGGTGTCAGAAGCCAAATGCGGGGTCGACACGTCACGGACCTGCCGTGGGAGGCCGACCGGCGACCCACACCGTGGAGGGCCGCGCAACACATTCCGATACGTCGGTAAGCTGCGGGCGCCCGCGGCCACGATTGCGGCCGCCCAGCCCTCGCGGGCGGGCACCAGCCACGACCACGACCACGACGACGACGACGACGACGACGATGAGAACGACGAGAACGACGACAACGACGACAACGACGACGACGAGAACGACGACGACGACGAGGACGACGACGACGACGACGACGACGACGACGAGGACGACGACGACGACGACGACGACGACGACGACGAAAACGACGACGACGACGACGACGACGACGACGACGACGACGGCGGCGGCGACGACTGCGGCGACGACGACGGCGACGACGACGACGGCGGCGGCGGCGGCGGCGGCGACGACTGCGGCGACGGCGACGGCAGCGAGGAGGCCGCCGACCGGCGGCGCGGGGCAGGTTGTCGAGACGGGCCAGCACGCGCAGGAGTTCACCGAGGGCCTCAGCGCGAACGCGGTGCCAGCCGGCCGCGCCCTCCGCGAGAGCGGGCCCCCGCCCTTCTCGTCTGCGCCGCTGCAGCCGCTCCTCCAGCCTACTGCCCTCCTTCCTCCTCTGTTCCTCCTTCCGCCCTCCTCCTCCATCATCCTCTGTCCCTCCTCCCGCCTCCATCTCCCTCCTTCCTCCTCATCCCCCCTTTTCCCTCCCTTCCCTCCCCCCTCCTTCGCTCCGCAAGCCTTCTCTCCTCCCTCCCTCTTCCCTCCCTCCTTTCTCCTTCCTCCCGCCTCCCCCCGCCTCCCCCCTCTTCGCTCCCCCCCTTTCAGAGGAGGAAGAAATGCCGATGCCACTACCCGTCTATCGTCACCACGGCTGGGTTCGCCTCGGGAGCATGGTCAGAACGCGCCCCATGAGAGGTCCAGGAGCAGCTGTATCGGCATCGTTTGTTCCCTCACGCCTTCTCCCCCTTCTGCACGTCGAAGAGGACACAAATCAGACACGCGAAAACTGTCGGAGGTCCGCGGGGATTTTGGGGATCGGCGCTGGAGCACCCCTGGTGCTCTCTGCGCGCCAGGTGTGGGGGTCCAGCACCGATCCAAGAAACCCTAGCGGACCTCCGAACGTTTATGTTTATGCAGGCTCCCTTCTCAAAAGAGCAGCCTCGAGCCAATCCCTACCCTTCAGGTTGACAAGTCCAAGGCGATGACAATCCCAGAGACGTGCCCCCAGAAACTTGGGGGGGGTCCTTGGGATCGGCATGGTGATCGGGTGACGCCAACCTCCGGGACAGGGATACGCCCCAGCCTAGCGCTCCGTCGGACCTCGCAGAGAGGGGCACCAGAGAGCCGAGCTGAGGCCCGAAAGCCAGTAGGGAACAGACTCAAGGGGGACGCACCGCCCCAAGGCAGACCACTTCTGGCTCAGGAGGGGCTCTGTGGTTCTCGGATCGCTCCTCTGACGAGAGGTGGGGGAACCTCTTCGTGGCCGAGGCTCGCCGTGGCCAGAGCAGCCCCTTCGTTCCCTAGTTGGCGTTCCGTGGGGTAGCACGGCGGCTGTATGGCAGGCGCGGTCCCCCAGCCGTCGCATGGTCCGACGACCAGGGGCGGCTGTCTGTGCACGTTGCGCTCACGATGCCAGCAGCGTGTGGCGCGGCCTTCTGAAGCGGCGCTGCGGGGGGCGAAAGACAGGGCAACGCCTGGTAGGCTGGCGCCGGCTGTTGGGCAGCCTGCGTCCCACGGCGGGCAAGCTTTTTGCCTTCGGTGGCCAGGGCTGCTTGCCGTCGGCGCCACCCTGCCCGCAGCAGCCAGGCAACCGGCACTGTCCTCCTCTTCATTGCTGCTGTGCTCTCCCTGACCCGTCTCCCCCGCCGTCTCTCCGCGTCCTCTGCTAGTCTGCTGCTCCTGCTCCCAACTCGCTTGGCGTCGCTTCGGCTCACTTCGCGGGCCAGGCTGCACTTGGAAGCGCTCAGCTGTTGAATGCACCTCTCAACGTTGCCCCTGTTCCCAGGATTTCCCCTCTCGCGTACCGTACAGTCGTAGCCCATGTTGTGATACATGGGAACCTCCCCTTAGTGTCGCCTCAGTTCTTCCTCACTCCTCCTATACTCCTGCTCCTCCTTTTCCTCCTCATCATCCTCGTCCTCGTCATCCTCTCATCATGATAATCATCACCATCAGCAGCATCATCATCGTCGTCGCTGTCGTCATCATCATCATCATCATCATCATCATCAGCATCATCATCATCATCAGCAGCATCAGCATCACCATCCACATCATCAGCATCATCATCAGCATCATCCACATCATCATCAGCGTCATCATGATGAGCCGCAGCATAAAAAATCTGCATCCGCGTCTTCAAAATCATAGTCGCTTAATTTCCAACCATCCTGTGGTGTTGGGTCCTCGTTTTGAAGAGACGGGCCCCGCGTTCCTCTTCTCCTCTTCTCCTCTCCGCCTCCTCCCCCTCCTCCCCCCACTCCTGCTTCTTTCATGCGTTTCACCCACCCAGCACAGCATTTCGTGGCCCCATAGGGAGCTCCACCGAAGCCCCCAGTGGGACCGCCCGCATGCGTCCGCCACCACCCAGCACAGCCCGTGCTCCCTGCGTTTCACCCACCCAGTACAGCGCTTCGTGGCCCCATAGGGAGCCCCACGGAAGGTCCCAGTGGCACCGCCAGCATGCGTCCGCCACATCCCAACACAGCCCTTGCCCCCTGCGTCCCACCCACCCAGTACAGAGTTTCGTGGCCCCATAAAAGGGGCTCCACCGGAGGTCCCAGCGGCACCGCCCGCATGCGTCAGCCACCACCCAGCACAGCCTTTGCTCCCTGCGTTTCGCCCACCCAGTACAGCGTTTCGTGGCCCCATAGGAGGGTTCCACCGAAGGTCCCAGCGGCACCGCCCGCATGCGCTTGCCACCACCCAGCACAGCCTTTGCTCTTTGCGTTTCACCCACCCATTACAGCGCTTCGTGGCCCCATAGGGAGCTCCACCGAAGGTCCCAGAGGCACCGCCCGCACACGTCCGCCACCACCCAGCACAGCCCTTGCGCCCTGCGTCTCACCCACCCAGTACAACGTCTATTGGCCCATAGGGAGCTCCACCGAAGGTCCCCGTGGTTCCGCCGCATGCGTCCGCCACCACCCAGCACAGCCCATGCTCCCGGCGTCAGACCCACCCAGTACAGCGCTTCGTGGCCCCAAAGGGCCCTCCACCAAAGGTCCCAGTGGCACCGCCCGCATGCGTCCGCCACCACCCAGCACAGCCCTTGCTCCTTGCGTCTCGCCCACCCAGTACAGCGCTTCGTGGTCCCATAGGGAGCCCCACGGAAGGTCCCAGTGGCACCGCCAGCATGCGTCCGCCACATCCCAACACAGCCCTTGCCCCCTGCGTCTCACCCACCCAGTACAGAGTTTCGTGGCCCCATAAAGGGGCTCCACCGGAGGTCCCAACGGCACCGCCCGCATGCGTCAGCCACCACCCAGCACAGCCTTTGCTCCCTGCGTTTCGCCCACCCAGTACAGCGTTTCGTGGCCCCATATGAGGGTTCCACCGAAGGTCCCAGTGGCACCGCCCGCATGCGCTTGCCACCACCCAGCACAGCCTTTGCTCTTTGCGTTTCACCCACCCATTACAGCGCTTCGTGGCCCCAAAGGGCCCTCCACCAAAGGTCCCAGTGGCACCGCCCGCATGCGTCCGCCACCACCCAGCACAGCCCTTGCTCCTTGCGTCTCGCCCACCCAGTACAGCGCTTCGTGGTCCCACAGGGGGCTCCACCGAAGGTCCCAGTGGCACCGCCCGCATGCGACCGCCACCACCCAGCACAGCCCTGGCCCCCTGCGTTTCACCCATCCAGTACAGCGTTTCGTGGTCCCATAGGGGGCTCCACCGAGGGTCCCAGTGGCACCTCCCGCATGCGTCCGCCACCACCCAGCACAGCCCTTGCTCCCTGCGTTTCGCTCACCTAGTACAGCGTTTCGTCGCCCATAGGGAGCTCCACCGAAGGTCCCAGTGGCACCGCCCGCATGCGTCCGCCACCACCCAGCACAGCCCGTGCTCCTTGCGTTCTACCCACCCAGCATAGCGTTTCGTGGCCTCAGAGAGAGCTTCACCGAAGCTCCCAGTGGGACTGTTTGTATGCGTTCGTCATTACCCAGCGCAGCCCTTGCTTTCTGCGTTTTACCCACCCAGTGCAGCGCTTCGTGGCCCCATAGGGGGCTCCACCGAAGGTCCCAGTGGCACCGCCTGCATGCGACCGCCACCACCCAGCACAGCCCTTGCTCCCTGCGTTTCACCCACCCAGTACAGCGCTTCGTGGTCCCATAGGGAACTCCACCGAAGGTCCCAGTGGCACCGCCCGCATGCGTCCGCCACCACCCAACACGGCCATTGCTCCACCCAGTCAATACAGCGTTTCGTGGCCCCATATGGGGCCTCCACCGAAGGTCCCAGTGGCACCGCCCGCATGCGTCCGCCACCACCCAGCACAGCCCTTGTTCCCTGCGGTTCACCCACCCAGTACAGCGCTTCGTGGCCCCATAGGGAGCTCCACCGAAGGTCCCAGTGGCACCGCCCGCATACGTCCGCCACCACCCAGCACAGCCCTTGCCCCCTGCGTTTCACCCACCCAGTACAGCGCTTCGTGGCCCCATATGGAGCTCCTCCGAAGGTCCCAGTGGCACTGCCCGCATGCGTCCGTCACCACCCAGTACAGCCATTGTGTACACCGTTTCGTGGCCCCATAGAGGGCTCCACCGAAGGTCCCAGTGGCACCGCCCGCATGCGTCCGCCACCACCCAGCACAGCCCGTGTTCCCTGCGTTTCACCCACCCGCTATAGCGCTTCGAGGCCCCTATAGAGGGGTTCCACCGAAGGTTCCAGTGGCACCGCCCGCATGCGTCCGCCACCACCCAGCAAAGCCCTTGCCCCCTGCGTTTCACCCACCCAGCACAGCGCTTCGTAGCCCCATAGGGAGCTCCACCGAAGGACCCCGTGGTTCCGCCCGCATGCGTCCGCCACCACCCAGCACAGCTCTTGCTCCCTGCGCTTCACCCACCCAGTACAGCGCTTCGTGGTTCCATAGGGAGCGCCACCGAAGAAGATATTCAAAATTGCGGCACCCACAACTTCATATGGGTGGGTCTTTCGCCAGGCTAATGTTACTATTCATCATCATGCCTCGTTTCCTCCACGTGTTCCTACTCCCTCTCTGTTTTCTCCTTTGTATCTTGAGCGCGAGCAGACAGGAGTGGAGAAATAAGACGAGCTGTAGAAGGCGAAAAACGACGGGGTGGAGCAGGAGGAGGTGGAATACCATGAAGGAGCAACAGCAGGGGACGACTGGGTGTCTGAGGAGCAGCAGGGGGAGGAGCAAGAACGGGATGCAATGGAGGAGGACGAGGAGGAGGAGGAGGAGAAGGAGGAGAAGGAGGAGGAGGTGAAGACGGATTCTAGGAAGTAGGTAGACGACGAAGACGACCACGACGAACGTGACGACGTCTCACAGGACGCGCGGAGGACGAGGACGAGGACGAGGTACGTGGAGCGGGTGCAGGGACGCCCAGTGGCAGAGGAGGAGGGGATGCGAAGAGGGGGGAGGACGGGCAGCGGGGACGACGAGGCTACGAACGGAGCTCCACCCACGGAGGAAGCGCGTGCAAGCTGCCCAAGCATGCCCCGAGGTTATGGGGATCAAGACTCGCGGGGCCCCCATCCAACCGACCGGGACCAGCCAGGACCCGGGACCCTCGGCTGCTACCGAGGCGGCTCCCCTTGCCTCAACTTCTGTCCGTCGAGGGCATGAGCGGAGGACGGCCGCGGAGGGGACGACGACGAGGAGGGGGCAAACAGCGCCGGGGCGAGTGGGGAGCGGGCCCGTGCCACTCACTGGGACACCTCGGTGCCCCTTGGGTTGGTGCTCTTTTGCCGGCGGCGTCCAGCCGCTGGAGCTGCTCCCCGTCGGAGGCCGCGCCGCCGATGCCAAGCGTGGGAGGAGGGGGGAAGAGGAGGGCGAGAAGAGGGGGGGAGGAGGAGGACGCCTTAGAGGGGGAGGAGGAGGGCCAGGAGGGCAGGAGGGGGAGGAGAGGAGGGGGAGGAGGAGGAGGAGTAGAAGGAGGAGGGGGAGTGGGAGGGTGAGCGGGAGGAGGAAGGGGTGGGGGTGGGGGAAGAGAGGAAGAGAGGGTGAACCTGGCAGGGGAGGAGGGACAGGCAGGGGATGATGAGAGGGAAGGCTTCTCATGCCCCCCAGGTCGTGCTCATGACCGCATCAGGGGTCCAAGGTGGGCAGCCTCTGGTCGAGGTGATTAGGAGGGGAAGACATGGGGAGGGGAAGGGGGTCGCAGGATGAAGGATCTGAAGAGCCTGTCCGACCTGGGGTGCGGGGTAGGCTCGCTTTGTCGGCGCCCTCATCCGATTCCTCTCGCTTCGCCTTCTCATTCTCCGCCCAGCCGTCCTCGCCGCCCTGCTCCTCGTTGTCCCCTGCTTCCCTGAGCTCGTGGGAGGGGGAGGGGCACAGACGCATCACGTGCCTGCTGGAGGAGCGGAGCGGGCGACACCGACAGGGGCGTACCCAGAGTGCTCGTTGTGACTCGAGTTGCGCCGCGTCGCCTGGCCCCTGCCTCCTCCTCCTCCTCCTCCTCCTCCTTCTCCTCCTCCTCCTCTTTCTCCTCCTCCTCCTCCTCTGGCACTCCCCTGTTGGGGAGGTGCTCGGGTTCTTGTCCTTTCAGTCGGGCCCATGCCCGGGTCGCCTAGCTGTACACCTGGCACGCTTTGCGCCGCGCTTGTTGAAAAGCTCCTCCTCCTCCTCCTCCTTCCTCCTCCTCCTCACGCTCTGCTGCGCCGCGTGTGCCCGAAGGTGCAGAGCGTCTGCAGAGAGAAGGAGATGTCCGCTCCCAACTTCGTTCTGAGCAGGTTTGCGTGGTGAGACCGCGGGGGGCTGCTCTCCGCAGGAGGGTCCCCAGCTTGTGTGCGTGCCTCGCGCCAGACCCGCACTGCAGTAGAGTAGAGCGGGAGCCATAGGACATAGGAAATAGGAGGTTGATGCGGTTCATGATGATGTTGCTGCTGACGATGATGATGGTGATGGCGATGATGATGATGATGGGGATGACGATGAGGATAGTGAGGACAACGAGGACGAAGAGGAGGAGGATGGTGATGCTGATGCGGATGCGGATGCGGATGCTGCTGATGATGTTGATGATGCTGCTGACCATGAGCAGGAGGAGGAGGGCGAGAGGGTGATACTGATGAGGATAATGATGGTGATGACGATGAAGGGGAGGATGAGGTTCGAAGCACGACAGCCTACAAAATCGGCGTGTCTGGTGGACGAAACAGAGGCCGCGCGCACGTGGAAGATGAGCCAGGGATTCGTTTCCCCCTCTTACTGTTCCCAACCATCATGTGGTGTTGGGTCCTCGTTTTGAAGTGACGGTCCTCGCGTTGCTCTTCTCCCCTTCTCCTCTCCTCCTCCTCCCCCCTCCCCTCTTTCTTAATTTTTCCATGCGTTTCACCCACCCAGCACAGCATTTCGTGGCCCCATAGGGACCTCCACCGAAGCCCCCAATGGGACCGCCCGCGTGCGTCCGCCACCACCCAACACAGCCCTTGCTCCCTGCGTTTCACCCACCCAGTACAGCGCTTCGTGGCCCCATGGGGAGCTCCACCGAAGGTCCCAGTGGCACCGCCCGCGTGCGTCCGCCACCACCCAACACGGCCATTGCTCCTTGCGTTTCACCCACCCAGTACAGCGCTTCGTGGCCCCATAGGAAGTTCCACCAAAGGGCCCAGTGGGACCGCCCGCATGCGTCCGCCACCACCCAGCACAGCCCTTGCTCCCTGCGTTTGGCCCACCCAGTACAGCGCTTCGTGGCCCCATAGGGAGCTCCACCGAAGGTCCCAGTGACACCGCCCGCATGCGTCCGCCACACCCAACACAGCCCTTGCTCCTGCGCTTCATGCGCTTCGTGGCCCCATAAAAAGGGGGCTCCACCGAAGGTCCCAGAGGCACCGCCCGCATGCGACCGCCACCACCCAGCACAGCCCTTGCTCCCTGCGTTTCACCCACCCAGTACAGCGCTTCGTGGTCCCATAGGGAACTCCACCGAAGGTCCCAGTGGCACCGCCCGCATGCGTCCGCCACCATCCAGCACAGCCCTTGCTCCCTGCGTTTCACCCACCCAGCACAGCGCTTCGTGGCCCCATAGGGAGCTCCACCGAAGGTCCCAGAGGCCCCGCCCGCATGCGTCCGCCACCACCCAACACAGCCCTTGCTCCCTGCGCTTCGCCCACCCAGTACAGCGTTCCGTGGCCCCACAAAAGAGGGCTCCACCGAAGGTCCCAGAGGCACCGCCCGCAGGCGTCCGCCACAACCAAGCACAGCCCTTGTTCCCTGCGCTTTTTCCCGACACCATCCAGCACAGACCTGGGTCCTTGCGTTTCACCCACCCAGTACAGCGTTTCGTGGCCCCATAGGGAGCTCCACGGAAGGTCCCAGTGGCACCGCCCGCATGCGCCCGCCACCACCCAACACGGCCCTTGCTCCCTGCGGTTCACCCACCCAGTACAGCGCTTCGTAGCCCCATAGGGAGCGCCACCGAAGAAGATATTCACAATTGCGGTACTCACAACTTCATATGGTTGGGTATTTCGCCTGGCTATTTTTTTTCACCGCCACCTTCCAGCCCGAGTCTGCATCGTTCGGACGGGTGAACTTTGAGTGCATTTTTATTGACGGACCCATTCGCTCTACAACATAGACGCCTGCAAGCTGCTCTGCGGAGCTGTACGGGATCCGATTGCCTCCGGCATCCCTCGCGGAGAAGCACACAACACGCACCCGACAACCGCACCCGAGCGACGGCAAGCCCCATCCCCCCCTCCTCCCCTCCAATCCTCCGGCGCTGGGCACCGACCCCCAGGAGCGGCCATTGCCTGGCGCCCTGCCACCTCGCACTGGCCGTCCCCGGGAGAGAGATCGGGGGTGCGAAAGGTACTTGTGGCCCAAGGTGCCCCCAGCTTCTCGCTCCACTTTGGAGCCCCTCGGGCTCCCTGGACCTCGCGAGGGGTGCTCTGGAGGCCGCGAGTGCCTCCTTGGAAACCCTGGGGGACACCTTGGGGGCAGGGGCGCTTGTGGCAGCGCCCGGCGAAAGGGGTTGCTCCAGCTGGGGCCCCTGACCAGCGAGCGCTGCCAGGGAGCGCGAGGGCCACCACCACCACCCCCAGGGGCGGCCGGCGGGCTCTAGTCAGGAGGGGGACAAACACACAAACACAATAAATCGTCGATTCCCAGGAAAATGTGGGAAAATATGGGAAGTGGGGGGGAAGACGAAAACCCAGAAAATATAGGAAAATATTGGGGATATTTTCATCTGTGTGTATTTATTTGTGTGTCTTGGGGCCCCTTGATCTAGGGGGGGGAGGGCGACGGGGGGGGAGGATTGTCGTGAACCCCTGCAGGCCTCCCAGACAGGGCCAGAGTGGAGGTGGGCGGAGGGTCGCGCCGCATCGCCGACGCGTCGGCGATGCACCGCTCGACGCGTGGCTCCGTTGTCTCCACGCCGGCGGCGCCGACGCCTCGCCGGCCGATGCGGCGCGGCCCTCGGACCCCACCTGCTCCGGCCCCATCTAGGAGGCCTCGAATGAGGGCAAGGGATCCCAGACACCGGGCGTCTCGACAAAAATCGAGACAAAGGGTTTTCGTCGTTTTCGGCCTCTCGGGGCCCTCGCCTGGCCTCGGGACCGTCGAGAAAGGACTCGGGGCGAAAAACCGGCCCTGGGGAAGTGGTCGGGAGGTCCAGGGCTCCAGGGCCCGCGTCTCGGAGAAATCGAGGCGCCGGGTGTCTTTGCGGAGCTTCTTGGAAGCGTGCTGCTTGGAGCCCCCAGGCCTCCGACACACACACACACACACACACACACACACACACACACACACACACACACACACACACACACACACACACACACACACACACACACACACACAACACACACACAACACACACACACAACACACACACAACATACACAACACACACAACACACGCACAACACACACACACACAACACACACAACACACACACGCATCCTTTCCGCTCCTCGCCTTTGTGCGAACCACGAGCTTTTCGCCCCCGAGATAGCGGGCGTGGCCGGGGGGGCGGGGGGGGGGGCGGGGGGAGGAGCCACGCAGGGAGGGGGGGTGGAGCCAGTAACGTCACGATTCGCGCCGGCGCAGCGTGGGAAGGTCTGGGAGTGGCCAGTTCCCAGCCTGCGCCCGGGGAGAGGGGGGAGGGCGGGGCCGGTGACGGTGGTGACCGCGGCTACCAGGAAAAAGTTCCCCCTGGGGTCGTCCTGGACCCCCCCCCCCACAGGGGAGCGGAAGAAGAGCAGATCGTGTGGCGGGAGCGGCGCGCAGCGAGGCGGCGACTTGGTAACCGTCCGGGCGCCCGGGCCACGCCGAGCGCGGGAGGGCGGGGAGGGTTGGAGCGCAGGAGGCCTTGGGCGAGCGCGCGGCTTGGAGAAAGGCGCAGTGCTCGCTTTTCTTGTGTGGTTCTCTGTCTCTCTCTCTCTCTCTCTCTCTCCTTCTCTTTCTATACCTTCTTTCCCCCTCGTTTTCTTCTTCTCCTCCCGCTGTCACCTTGGAGGGCATTGGGGAGGTCTCGATTCTCTTAGGTGAACTGCTCTCGGCTGCCAGCAGGGCAGCGAGAGCCGAAGGAGAGCGGACGTGGAAGGAATGGCTTCTGCGGGACATCGACCAGGGAGGGCGCGACGCTCATTCCTGGACGCGCCCCGTGGAAGCCTGGGTTCCCTCCCAGACCCTCAGTGCGCACGGCCAGGTCGTATCCGATCCACTGTCTCTTTTGCACGCGGAGGGCAAGAAGTTTCAGTCGCTCTGGCTGGCGGACACGGATTTGTACGACTTTGTGGAGCCCAAGCCTCACTCTCCGGCCGAACACCTTCCCCTGGCGTCGCCGACCACACTTCGCGAGAAGAGCCGAGGACGTTCTAAGCGTTCTGCTATCTCGGCTGATGCATTCCATCTTCGGCACTTTGCCCTTCCCTGCGATCGGGCGCTAGTTTTGTAGTCTCGCTGCTCTTTGCCATCGTGGAGACCAAGGCCACTCTGCCAGAGCAGCTGCGCCTGGTCATGCTCGCGATGTTGCCGAAGCCCTGTCTTCGACCTGTCGGCATGTTTACTTCGCCTTATCGCCTTTGGGGGGAGTTAAAAGGACGCGAAGATCGGGACAAAATCGGATCGGGATACCTCGAAATCTCTGAGAATCGGCGGGTTTGGAGGATGTATTGGGCGCCGCGGCCGCTCCAGAGCGTTCCGGAACGCTCTGAGAGCGCTCTGGAACGCTCTGGAGCGATTTATCCCGATCTTAGCCTTGTTTTAGGAGTGCAGGAGGATTGAGGCGCGACAGTGGGAGGAGAGTAACAAGCACGGCATGCTTGCTGGCTATGGGTTTCAATCGGCGTCTGATGTTGTATGGCGCCAGACCGCCAAGAGCGAGTCTGCTGTCAAGCAAGGTTTATGCTCCGCGACCCTCTTATGAACGATCTACAGGAACGTTGTCTGGAAGCAGGTTTCCCCATCGTCGTGTGCCGGTTATGTTTGTCCGCTTATGTCATCCGTGGTATATCAGCATCAGTGGTTTTATCGTGGGTCTTTTCTTGGCCACACGTGGGATTATCGTAGGTTGCAGCATTGCCACTAGTTTCGTAAGGGTTTACTACATGAAGGCCTTCATGTCGGTTCAGCTTAAGCCGTGCTCTTGTCTGGATTTGCATATCGATGGCCTCAGCCTTTCCGCGCAAGGCAAGTCTCAGGCAGTGTACGAGGCCATCACGTCTGGAGCTGTTGGCCTCTTCAAGGCCGTTGAATCTGACATCAAGTGCCAGGTCGCCCCTGACAAGGCTAG